CCTCTAGCACACAGCCCAGCTGACTGCACCGACAGGCTCTGGGGCAGGGATTGTTTTATCAGTAAGTGCTGCCTGTTCAGTACCTTTATGCTGCCGTCTCTTACCGTCGCCTGGGCTATTTTTAAATCCTTAAATAAAGCATCTACAACGAAAAAGAAAGGAGCCTCCTTGCAGAGGAACACAGAGCCACCACATTGACGAGGAGACTGTTTTCCCTTGTCTGTCAAATCAGCTCATTTAGATTATTTAAGTCAAGAGCAATTTTGAAAACAATCTGTTTTGCGGGTGACAGCGGCTCCGCTCTGTGTGGCGATGCTGAATGGAGCAAGCGGCTGCGAGTTATTGATGGCAAATTCCTCACATCCCCAGGCCCCTGCTTCTCCCGAGGCAGCCCCAGCTCTGTTTTCCCCAGACATGAAGCAGAAAGTATTTTCTAACATGTCGGCTTCCTTTGCCTGGAGAGCAAACTGCAGCTGAAGGGGAAGGGCGGAGGGGATGGGAGCGCTGAAATGGCGCCAGCTCCTCTTTAACTGTTTTCAGGCACTGCATTTCTCTGCCTCCTGCAGTTGATTCTCTTGCTCTGATGATATGAAAATCCTAATTAAAAAGTGAATGGGGAGGTGGCGATGGGAGGACGTGTGTGTGTGTGTGCCAGGCTGGCAGGGTGCAGGTGGTGGCTGCTGTTGCTGGGAGAGGATATTTGGGGATCACTGCCCAGGAGGGCATGTTTGCCCAGTGGTGAAAGTGTAACTGCACAGGTCCGTCCCTGGCAGCTGCCTGAATGCAGCTTGTTTGCCCTTGAAGAGTTGCTTTCATTATTTCTGATGCTGTGTGTGACCAGGGTGCTGCAGAGCTGTTCAGACCCGCATCAGGGAAGGGCAGCAGTGCCAGGGTGAGGAGGGAGCATCACGGGTGGCACCAGCTGGTTCCTCCCTGCACACACTGCCCAGGGTGCTCCTTCCCATCCAGGAGCACGGGGGTTCCTGGGGACAGGATCCCATGAGGAAGAGAAGCACTGACACTTCACAGATGGGGGTTAAGGATTTTTCTGCTCTTCAAGCTGAAAGCAGCTCCCAAGCCAGGTGGTTACGAACATCATTTTAAGCACAGAGGTGTTTTGCTGCCCCTTTGCTGGCAGAATCAGAATCTGGGGCCTTAGCGAAGAAGTCCAGAGGTCCAAGCTGTAGAGAGTACCAAGGGACAAAGAACAAACCAAAGAACTGTAGTAAGCAGGAGAGAAGGTCCTCCAGAACCTCAGTTCCCAAATAACTCTATGCTCAGCACATATCAAGGCTAAAACCAGCAGTAATTAACATCCAGGTGCTGCTTCCAGCCAGCCCTCAGTACCACTGCTCTGGATGATGGGCTTTTGCATGCCTGAAGCTCAATGTGCTGGTTCTTCTAGAAGAAAACCTTCCTGCTATTTGAGGATTCCTGAATTTCGCTAGTCCGTGCAGGAATTCACCAGTTTCATACATGTCAGAACTCAGCTGAGCAAAGTGTCACTTGTGAGGTGAGAGGTAAGATCATGATGCAAGGAGGAGATGATGGGGTAAGTGATGGAGGGTTGGTCCTGCAGAGGCTTTGCTGATGGTGAACAGCCAGCTGCAGCACTTACATGCACAAAGAAGGCCACTGCTGTGGCTGTCTAGTTGCTAGGAGCACGTGCATAAATAACATTAGAGAACAATCTAAAATAATAAAGAAAGCTGCGGACCTTGACTATGAATTTTATTGACAGTGGCACAATGCAGTTAACAAACTGACATAACAGGAGTACATAATGAATTCATCATCCTTCCCAACTGAGGACAGACTTAACAGCAGCCCTCCTACACCACGTGTAGTGCCTCCAAAGAGACATGAAACAGGGCTGCTGTGAATGGAACAGTGAGAGAGAGCTGAGTCATACTTTAGGAAATAATGGCTTTCGGTTACACACAATTACATGACAGTCCAAACTTTTTCATATGAAGAAAAATAAACAAGACCAAATTAAGTTACAAGTTATTACAAGACACTGAGAAACTGATTTCAAACTGTCACTTTACGGCTGTGCCTGTTCAGCTCGCAGCCATGCACTCTGCATTACTGAGCCTCTAAGGACAGAAATACACTCACTGGCTACTCTGCATTGTCATAAACATTGCCTCAAGTACCGTAGGACCTTCTTCAGCTGAAAACCACTGTACTTTGTCCATGCTGGTAGAAAGACAGTGGACGCAGCAGCAGATCTCCAGGACGTGGCTCATGTGCCCAGGCCACCCATTTGTCCCACAGAGGAATCAAGCAGCATTCCTTTTCTCACCAGCACTGGTAAAAATGGTCAAGGCCCACTGAAACTGGGCTGGAAAATGCTGATGCCAATGTGCAGCTGGAAGCAAGGAGAGAGAGAGAGAACTTCCTCACACCAACAAAACCTTGGTTGGGAGTGCCTTTCAGATGCAGAACCACTTACTGGGAATTCTTGTCCACTCAGTTTCACTTGTTCCTGACATTACTGCTCTCAGTTCTAACCCATTATCCTGTTCAGTCCTTCGACTGGTTTGATTTTTCTAATTTCTGGGATATTGTTACTGAGGCCTAGTCCAGTAACAGTGTGGCTCACATACTCCTCACTCTTCATTTGCTGTATTTGAAGTATCTCTGTGTGTTTTGGATTAAGCTCTATGTTCACATACATCAATCTCTCACCAAATTTGCCAGTGCTGGGGACTTTTCTATTCTCTCCCTCAACCCAGCAGAGTCAGTGGAAGGTTAAGAGAAGTATCTATGTGGTTATTTAGACACTAATTCCTTTTATCTGCCAGTTATTGATGCCTCAAGCCTGGCATAGAGCTGGCACAGCAGCATCACCCTGGGAGAGCTGCCCCACACAGGGAAAACATGCGTGGAAATGGATGTTCTGTCCCTCTGTGCCTTGTCCTGCATCGATTGGGGAACGACTGTGTTCTGCTTGATGAGACAGTGCCTGGAATTCCTGTGTGTGATTGGGATAACTAAAGACTACATGGGTGCCTGGGACCTCATCACTCCCCACTCCAGGAGGGTGTAGTGAGGTGGGGTTCATCTCCTCTACCATGCTGCAGAGGACATGGCCTTAAGCTGGGACACAGGAGGTTCAGATTAGATACTAGAAAACTTTTTTTTACTTCTTAGGTGGTCAGGCTTTGGAAGAGGCTGCCCGGGGAGGTGGTGGAGTGTCCATCCCTGGGAGTGTTTGATCTGGCACTGGGTGATGTAGTTTAGGGGTTCAGGGGTTACAGTGGCAGTGCTGGTGGAAGGTTGGATTGGATGACCTTAAATGTCTTTTCCAACCTTGATCACAGACTAACAGAATCTCCTGAGCTGGAAGGGACCAACAGGGACCATCCACTCCAACTCCTGGCTGTACAGAGGATACCCCAAAATCCCACCCGTGCATCCCTCGAAGGGTGTCCAAACACTCCTGGAGCTCTGGGGCCGTTCCCTGGGGAGCCTGGGCAGTGCCCAGGGTGAAGGAAGAACCTTTCCCGAGCTCCAACCCAAACCCCTGACACAGCCACGGGCCAAGTGATCATTCTGTGGCTGTGATCCAGGAGGGACCCCGGCCCGAGGCTCCGAGCTCCAACCCCGCAGGAGCGGCCTGGGCCGGGATCGGGGTCCCGCTTCCCCCGTGCCGGGGTCCCTGTCCCGGTCCGGGTCCCCTCGGTCCCGATCCCGATCTCTGCCCCGCTTCCCCCGGTCCCGGTCTCTGCCCCGGTCCCGGTCTCTGCCCCGGTCCCAGTCCCTACCACGCTCCCCCCGGTCCCGATCTCTGCCCTGCTCCCCCCGCTCCCGATATCTGCCTCGGTCCCGGTCCCGGTCCCAGCCCCGCTCCCCCCGGTCCCGGTCCCGATCTCTGCCCCGCTCCCCCGGTCCCGATCTCTGACCTGCTGCCCCGCTCCCCCCGGTCCCAGTCCCAGCCCCGGTCCCGGCCCCGCTCCCCCAGGTCCCGATCTCTGCCCCGCTCCCCCAGGTCCCGATCTCTGCCCCGCTCCCCCCGGTCCCGGTCCCGGTCCCGGCCCCGCTCCCCCCTCAGCCGGCGCCCCGGAAGCGCGGCCGGGGCGGGTTCGCTTCCTGCGCGCGGGGCGGGCGGGCGGCGGCGGCAGGAAATGGCGGCGGAGCTGCGGCTGCAGCTGCCGGGCCCTCCCGCTCCGCAGCGCCGGGCTCAGCCCGCCTAGAGCCGCCGGCCGCGCCGGGCCCGCGCCGCAGCCTCCGGGACGGACTCCGAGCACTTTACATACATGAGGTAGCGGGGCGGGCGGGCTGCGCCGGGCCGAGCCGGGCCGGGCGGGGAAGGGAAGGGAAGGGAAGGGCCGGGCGGAGAGGGAGCCCCCGGAGCCGCAGCGGCTGCGATCGGGCTCCCCGCGGCAGCGGCGCCGCCGGAGGGGCCGCCCGAGGGGCTGCAGTGCCCGCCCGGAGCGATGTGTCCCGTTCCCCCCGGGCCGGGCCGGGCTGGGCCGGGCTGGGCCGTGCCCTCCCCTGCTCGGAGTTCGCTCCTGCGGGGCCGGCAGCGCCCGGGGCCGGCGGTGCGGCGCGGAGCGTCCCGGGGCTGCGCTCGGACCGCGCTCGCGGGCTGAAAGTGATGCAGCAGAATTGTTTCCCTTAAAGTCCTTGAGGCGCTGAAGTGCAAGGAGGGCACGCGGGGATGGGTGTGGGGCCCAGGCAGCGCACAGGGACGGTGCTGGGATGCGGATGGGGCACGCAGGGTGGCAGATGTGGGGTGCAGGGATAGTGCTGGGGTTACAGGGATGATGCTGGGATGCAGGGATGGTGCTGGGGTACAGGATGGCGCAGGGATGCTGATGGGATATAGGGATGGTGCTGGGGTACAGGGATGGTGCTGGGGTACAGGATGGCGCAGGGATGATGCTGGGATGCAGGGATGATGCTGGGGTACGCACAGGTGCTGTTGGGGCACACAGGGTGGCAGATGCAGGTCCTGCCCGCTCCCCTCGCCGTCTCTGAGGACCCCCGCCGCCGGTTCCTGGGCAATCCCGGCTCCCTGGGCAATCACTGGTCCCTGGGCAATCACTGGTCCCGGGGCGATTCCTGCTCTCGCCCTTTGCTCCTGACCAACCCCACCTGCAGCTCCCTGTGCATCCTGACCCGCACCGGTTTTATTTTCGTGCTGCATTGCTGTTGACATGGAAACCAATACCACTTTCTGTTCCAGAGAATTGGAAGCTAAAGCTACCAAAGAAGTCGAAAGAAAACTAAGCAGGTAAGAGACTCATTTAAATTCCCTCCCACAGTTTAGGTGGAAAGGTGGCCTAGGGCTAGGAATAGTTGTGGGCTTTATCGGGAGCTTTAATCTCTTGTTAATTGTAAGGATAAAAAAAACCTCTGAATTTGAAAACGTTCACTGTTGCATGGAGAAATGTCTGCAAGTTCAGTTGATTCTGCAGACTAAACACGTTTTTAGCTGTTTTGTTTTTTTGGGTTTTTTTTGTGTAACGACTTCAGATGTTTAATACGGTTTCTAAAATAGGGGAGGTTTTTGAAGAGAAAAATAAATTTTCTGCACTAAGTTGTAGTATCTAACAATAACTGAAAAATGAATTAAGGGTTTGGGGGTTTTTTTATACACTTCAGCCAAATACTGTTTGAAGGCGAGACAGTTGTGGCAATAACTCAATAAACTTTATGTTGCCATATAACTACTGGCTCTGCCTCTTTTGCCGTGAAGAGTTCGCTGGTGAATTTCCTGTTTACGTGTAGTTTTCAGAATGAGAAATTAACAGAATGGGCTCGGGAGTTAACTCCTGGACTCGGCACTTCAGAGTCGTGTTGAGCTAAGAATTCTGTGCCATAATGTGTATCACTTTTGTGTTTAAGTAATTGTTTCTTCTGCACCGTTTGGTTTTGGTCAGGTGACTTTCTCACAAGTATCTGCTCTGTTGGTTACATTCTTTGTTTTCAACTTCTGTCCTACTTCCTTTTTGGGTTCTTTTTCAGTTAGACCTTTAAAGGCCTTTTGCTAGTGATCTGTTAAAGGGATTTCCAGTGGGCCCATTTGAGATGTGCCCAAAGCCTGAGTATAACTGATAGAATCTCAGGTTTGGTACCCTGCTTTTTTCCTCCTTTCCTGTGCCCGAGCAGTCTCCAACTTCCAGGCTGAGCTGTGATTGTAATGTGAAAACTGCTTTGCTTCCCCCTGCTCTCAGTGCGTGTCTTCCCTTTTTTTTTTTTTTTTTTTTTTTTGGTAATACACTTAAGCATGAATGATTTTCCCCACGTTGTTGTTGAAATACAGGGAATAACTGGGAACCTTGAAGATGCCTTTGGCACATTGCTGTTAACCCATCAGCATTCAGGGACTCGCTGCATTCGCCATGCCAGAAGTGATTTCAGAACTGTGTTATTCAGAGTGACAGAGTGCTAAGTTCAGAGCAGTACTTGGTGCCAGTCGTAGTAAGTCAGGAGATCTTCACATTTTTATGACCTTAGCAGAGATCTTGTCATGCTGGCAGGCAGTGCTGAGAGTGAGAGGAAGTGAAAGAAAACTACAGAACTTCGGAAATTCGGTGCTTGGAGAGTGAATTCTGCTGTGGAACGGGTCCTCATGTCTCTCTGGCACAGAGGAGTATGTTTTATTCATTTAAAAGATTCAGAACTGGTTTGAAGTTCACATGAATGCCCCAGCTGGTTTATGTTTAGCCAGGGAGCTCTGGTTGTGAGAGCACACAGCTGATAAAGCGTGGCATGCCTGCGCTGGATACACCTGATTAATTGTTTTACTGGGTAGAGCTCAGCAGATAGCCCTCGTTCTTCCTCCAGTGTCATTATTTACAGTCTTATTAAATTTGCAGTGACCTAGTCGAACTGTAAAAGAGCAAATATCCTTTCCTGGGAAGGTACATAGACCTGTGCTAGAGTTTATGTTAATCTCAGATTTCACAGTGTGAATGGAGACTGAACTCCACAGGACGTTGGCTTTGCTTTGTGTGTGTTCTGAAGTCACTTCTGGAGTTTATGCTTGTAAATTAATGGGTAGCAAATACACTTTGCAATCTTACTGGGAATATTGGCCTAGACTGTGGGTTTGTGATAGGATAAGTATTACAGCTTTCAGTGCAGCTTGCTTATCCAGTTGGAGTGATTCCTGTTTTACACTCAGGATTAGCATTTGGCTTGTCTGGCCTTTTGGAAAAGAATCCTCATTTGGTCTGTGTTCTCTCTAAAATTCACACATGCCTGGTGCTGTGCAAATATTCCTGGTCTCAAAAATAAGCTTAGTGCATGACTTGCAACAGTGATTCAAATAAATCCATTGCACACTCTATCGTGGCATCATGTTGCAAATTGAATGTCACCTGATGAATCTAAGAGTTAAATTTGGTTAAAATCAGGACTGCTAAAAATCACCAATTAGTTCTGACTTGAGCAATAACTTTTCAATTCTGTTTGGTAAACAGGGCTTTCCTGCCTCATTTATGTGGAACTGAGAGAAGGTAAATATCTGAAATATGTTGACAATCATTTTCCCAACCCCAGGGGTTTGACTGTTGCTTCACAAGCATGCAAACCATAGGCAAGAGTCTCCATTGCTTCCATTCACCTGTGATTCTGCCCACCTTGGTTGCAGACTGGCCATGTTTTGGCAGAGCACCCTTCTCACCTCTAGATTTCATCCACATATTCTGTAAAGTTACTACTGTACAATTGATTTTTACACTTTCATGTAATAATAACCACCATAATAATAACCACCACATTTCTGTGATATTTTTCTTATCTGCTGCAGGGAAAACCTAGAGCTGGCCCAGTGATAGACATATAAAACCAGTGAGAAATATAGTTGTTTCTGTTGATGTGTAAGCATTTGATTTTCTGTTGGGTTTCTGGGGGTGGCTCTTTTTCCTGATAAACTTCTTATGGAGAGGTATCTGCTGTGAAACAGGAAGAGTTTATTGCAGAGAAAACATTCTGTTCATGCTTGCAAGACCGTTACAGGTACTTGGGTAAAAGGACACATCCCTTTGTCCTCCGCAGACACTTTTTGGGGCTGTGTGGGGTTGGCAGGTGGTCCCCACCAGGTCCCTTTGGTGTTTGGGTGTCACAGCAGCCCCTGTGCAAGCAGTGCTGCCTCTGCAGCAGTGACTGCAGCAGCCTGGAGCAGGGCAGAGTCAGCGCTGGGCTCGAGCAGTTGATTGTGGAGGAGCAGTTTAATCTGCTTTCCTGGGCTCCTCGTTTGGTACAGGATGATAGGGATTGTTTATGGCTGCTGCTGGAGTCTCGTGTGGTTGGATGATAAACTTCTTGGGAAAGGGATCTGTCTTTTGTCTGCTTGTGTAGGAGCAAACATCTTGGGTGAAACTCGAGGGCAGAACTAACACAAATATTCCAGAATTACGTCCCATTTGTTGTCCTTGTATTTGGGAGCATCGTTGTGATGAGCCAGCCTCTGTATTAGGGAAATGGGAAAGCTGAGTGGATTCCAGGTCATTGGCAGTGGCAGACCTGGTAGGTAGAATTCAGTCTCTTCATTTTTAGGGTGGTAATTTAAAGGCTGAGGTATTTAAAAGCAAAAAAGAAAGTAGCTGATACACATTTACTAATTAATTATTCATTGAAGTATTTTTTTCCAGTTTTTAGCTTGGCAGCACCTCTCCTCTGTTAATAGCTGGAAAGAACACACACACACACGTCTGGAAATGAGTGGGTTTGTTTTGTTCTCACTGCCTGAGGCTCTCAGTGCTCTGAGGAACACGCTGGGTGGGTTCAGGTGCCAGAGCTTTTCCATCTGAAGCACTGGCAGCATTTGTTGGGATTATTTTGTTAACTCAACTTCAAAGTACTGCTGTCTGTTCCATAAACTCCAAGTGCTCCTTTGGTGTAGTGTGTTCTTTTGTGGATGGCATTGATAAAGGAATTGTAGGATCCCGTTTTAATCAAAATATACATTTTATAATTGATTTTTGTAGAATGCTGGTGGGTAGGAAAGCTAGTTGTTGGTTTTTACAGAGCCTGAGAAATCACTTTCATTGTCAATTTTATGTAATTGTGTCATTGAAATTGAAATGAAATTGAAAGATGAGGGAACTTGCAGGTCAGAATGCAGAAGATTTATCAGTTCTCACCAACATTTCAAAGTCTGTGTAGAAGATCAGCTGTAGGTTGAACATGTGATGTTGTCTTTGCAGAATTGTTAAAGATCTTTCAATCTCTGATACTTACCTGTAGCTACCTGGCAGTGTTCCACCTGTAGCACTGCAAGTTAATTTATAACTAGAAGAACAGCAAATGGTAGAAAGGATTTAATTTATTTATTTTTAAAAAAATTTAATATATCCATCACTGGAAATTTTACATTGGTTTCAGAAGCTGCTGTGTGTAATCACTTCTAATTCTTTCTTGTGTGTTTGCTCCATACCTCCAGTGATGGGGCTCATGGTTCTTGTAACCATCATTTCCTCAGTGTGGTGATAGAATTTTGATTTTTTTATTGTGGCAAAACGTGTTGCCCTTTGATATATTGTAAGAGCAAAGATAGCAAAGCTGCACAAATACTAATTACTGCATCCTCAGCCTGTCTGCCAGGAGAAATATTGGTCAACTTGATTTTGCTCTTCTGCAACATAAGAATAAATGTTAAGTGTGTCTGTTTCAGCCCAGGTGTTTTTACAATGCTAAGCTGAAGCTTTAGAAATTAAAGATTAATAGTATCTTTTTTTACAAGAAGTAAGGTAATAAGTGAAGCATGTTTTGATACAAATATTACCTGAAATGTTTGCAGTTTAGCATGACAGCTTTTTCCACTTCAGAAGCCAAATAACAAATCAAGCCATAGAGAAATGAAATGCATTGTACTGTCTTGATAACCTGTCTAAGAAGACTAAAAAGTTGGTTTTGTTTGTTTTGGTTTTTTTTAATAGCTTAATTGAGGAAAGCATTTTAGTAGTTTGTTGGCTTTTTTTTCCCTCCTGTGTGCAAAGGCTTGTGCTGGGGTACACAATTGGAACAAAAATTTACTGTTAAATAAATAATGGTAAATATTTATCTGACCCTCGGTCTGCTTAAATTTATGCAGATAACAGCAGCTTCTGCTTGCCCATCTTCAGAGCCATCAAATGTGCAGTCTCTCCTGAGATCAAGATCCATTTTCATTTTGCCTCTCTTGAAAATAAAGCACCTTTCAAGTTAAGCTGTTGAAACCGGAGGCCTTTGTTCTGTCTCCGATGTGGATTTCCTATTGCCGGGCTGTTTTATTTTCACTTGATCTAAATTGAAAACCACGGTTTGCATTTCTGCTAAGGCCGTTTAACCTTGAGCAGGCTAATCTCTCTGCACGGGAGGGGGAGGCCATTGCCTGGGCCGTGTTTGGGTGGAAGTTGGGTGTGTGGCAGGGGAAATCACAGAGCTGTTTATTATTCACCTTATCAATAGGAATGCTACCTGTTTATTATTCACCTTATCAATAGGAATGCTTTTCCCAGGCAGCTGACAGGCTGTGTGCTGCTGCAGACACTCCTGGCCACACAAGCTCCTTGGATTAATTCTCCCAGGTGATAAATGGGAAATTCCACTCCTCCAGGAGCAGAAATGGAGCCTGTTTGTTATGGAGGTTGGAATCAGAGGCATCAACCCCATCATTTGGTGTCTGGTGAGAGGGCTGTGGGTTTGTGTGTTGGGAAGAATAAAGGAGACTCGTGCTTCCAGCTGTCAGAAATGGAAATTCAGGTGTTCTCTCGTGACTTAAGAGGCAAATGTGAATTTTTGTGTCAGGTTTAAGTTTGTGTATGAGGATGGTGAGCAGGCCTGTCTACCTTGAAGGGTTAAGTTTTCAGGGACAGGAAGGGCTTTGCTGCTGCTGCTTGGTTGTGCCAGTTGGGTTAGTTTTGCTCTGAGATTTGATGTTATAGTGGTAATTAATACTTTTGAAAACTTATAATGAACTATAGGTGGATGGTTTTTATCTAGGGAATACCTAGAGTTCTGATCCTAATCGTAGGGAGGTTTTATGTCTCCTAAGCTTGCTTTATAATCTAAAATCTGTTTTGTCGTAAAGAGATAAAAATTGATTGAACAGTGTCAGAATTTAGGAGTTCTGTTGTTCCTGTGTGACAAAAACCCAGTGATGCTGTAGTAGAATATTCCAGAGATGTTGGTATGTTAGTTGCTAGCATCTGTATTCCCAAAATGAAATGTAATTGTGTTGATTTAACTGTAGCAGGATTGATGAGGGCTTTTTTTTTTTTTCCTGTGAAAATACTACTTTGCATTCTGCTTGCTCTTCAACATGCTACAGCTTTCTTCTAAAAGCAGAATGATTTTTCAGTTAATGCAGTTTTGGCATGTGACAGACTGAAATTTGTTATACAAAGCAAGTGCTGGTGGCTGCCTTTACTCCCAGAGCCCTGCTCAGGTTATTACAGATGTTGTAACTCAGCTGTAGCCCCAGCAGGCAGGCAGAGGTGAGGTCCAGCCCAGGACTGAGTTCCCAAGGAGCAAACCAGAGGTTCTGCTCTGAATGCAAGGAGCTGTGCCTGAACTGGGATCTATGGGAGCTGATTCCACAACTGGTATTGTTCTCCAGTTCAAATTGCCTGTTAAAATTTGGACTGTCTCAAATTAATCCAAACTGATGGTCAGGATCACCAAATCCCTGTGCTTCCAAATGCTCAGGGTGTGACAGCAAGGGGCAATACTGGCTGAAGTGTCACCTTTGTAGTGCACAGATGTCACTGCAGGTTAATCATTGCTCAGATTTGCACAGGACCCAGGGAATGCTCTCAGTGAAACTGGCCAGCTGGAATTGTTTCTCTAGTTTGGTGTCTGACCTCTTAGCTGTCCGTGAAACCATTTTTGAGACCTAATTGTGAATGCAAGATTGCTTTTGCAGTGAGACCATCCTCGGTGGATCCTGTATCCAGCTGATGGAGCTGTGATAAAATGCACAATTTTATCTCATTGTGTTTGATGGGTTGTGATTCCTCTGCCTGTGTGCAGGGGGTCTCAGAAATAACACTTTTGGGTAATTGTTTTGCATACCTGAGCACGTCAGAAGCCATTCTTTCTTAAAAGAAGTAACTGATGCTTGCTTTCTGTTATTGGAAAATCTTAAAAGCCAGAATTTGGTCAGGGGAAGCTGATGCCTGCACTCCCTTTGAAAGGGACTTGAGCTGAGTTAAAAGTAGAATTAACTGGTTGTTTATATCTAAAAAAGTAATGAAAGTTTAGTACCTGTGGACTGTCATGTGCTTTAATACATTCAATTTGCATTGCTTCTGACAGATATCAAACTGTCTTATTTAAAACTGGAGGTTTATGGGTGGCTTGGGGTTAAAAAGGAGCCAGCTCAGTGTTTCCAGGCAGATACAAACCGTGTAGTCACAGCCCCATATTGACATTGCAAGTTTTTTTTTTTGGAGGAAAAGAACTGACAAAGTCAGTTTGTAAGCAGCAGAAGCTGGGCAGTGCTGTTCTGCTCAGCCGTGGTTTGAACAGAAATGCTGTGGCTCAAGTGTCCTTAATGAACGTTCCCACTTTTGGTTTCACTTTTGGCGAGTTACGGTTTTGTTTCTGGCTCGGGGAGCTCGGGAATGGCCCCGCTGGTGCCAGCTCTGGGCTGCCCCTGCCCACACTCTGGGCTCTTTCCTGCCAGGGGGTTTGGGATGGGGGAGCTGGGCCACAGGCACAGGGACTGTGTGGCTTGGGCTGCATGCAGCAACACCCCTGGCTGGGCTGTGCCAGGGCTCACACCAGTTCAGGGACACATTAAACAACCTCTGAATTTGCTGGGTTTTGAACCAGATTCAACCCTAAGTGTTCACTGTAAGCTGTGGAGGAAAGAACTCCTTACATGTAGCTTGACACCACATCTGCACTTGCAGGTCCTGTCACTGGTGGTTTGCACTGACAGTGATGGTCCCTGTAGAAACAGGATCCAATTAGAAGCAAAATTCCCCAGTTCCTTTTGTGTCACTGTGAAATAATTGTTCTAAAATGAATCTGAGTGTGTACAGATTGTATTTTGGGAGAGTTAATTACAAACTGTGTGGTTCAGGGATTTAGTGCAAGAAGAGGAAGAACAGTTGATGGAAGAAAGGAAAAAGAGAAAAGAAGACAAGAAGAAGAAGGAAGCTGCTCAAAAAAAGGTATGTGGAGCTCTGAGAAGAAAGCCCTGTGCTTGGAGGTGGCTTGTTCCATCACTAGTAAGAACAACTGTTTTCTTATTAATGGAATGTTTTAAATTTAAATGTACTGTCAGTTATTTAGAGGTAACTGATATTGAACATTGTAATTGGCTCTGTATAGTTTCTTAGTTAGAAATCTAGAATCTAAAGCTAGATTTTCTTCTGGGTTCTTTCTCCTGATTGTCAGTTGAGGCAGTCTCAGGTTGGAAGCACCTCAATGTTAGTGCCTTTTCTAATAGAATGAAAGTACCATTTTAAGGCAGGGGGTTTCAGCTGCATCCTTATTTTAATATATCTTCTTATTCTTCAGTATGGAAACATGCCATGAGAGGATTTCTAGTAGGGAATAAAAAATTCCATAAAAAAGAAAGCATTGACAAAGATGTTTAGGGATGGGAATGTCACAGAAGTGCTTGTAAATACTTCAGAATCCTTGTTTGCTGACAAGATCCTCATGGTGGCATTGATTCTAAATATTGACCCTGAGCTTGAGAGGAGCTGTAAATGCAGTTTGTAAAGATGCCCATGTAGGTAGGAGCAGAGTGAACCTGCTCTGCAGCTCTCTGTGATGCACAGCCTCACTGTGGGGAACACTTTAAACCACACCACTGAGGTGCATTTCCATACAGGGAATGTTCCTCTCCCATTTTGTCCTGTGATAAACTTTTATTCAAATAGATCTCTCATCCTGGCCATATCACACGTGTAACCCATTGAATCTTGCAAATGAAGGACTTGAAGCTTTGGCATTTGCTCTCTCATTCTTTTCCATTTCCAGGTCACTCCCCCTTCCCTGCCCTGTTCTGCAATAAAAGTGGTGGCAGCTCTTTGCTTCCAGGCACAGTTTTAAACTCACTTAAAACATCTTAATTTGCAAGTTTAATTTGGTCTGTTTCATGTAGTTATCTCTCAAATTAATTTTGTCTTCTATAACATTTAAACAGCTTTTTAAACATAAGGAATAATAGTCCTGGGTTGGTTAGAGAGAGGCTTCTGAAGTAGATAATTAAATAACTTGAAACCATTTAAAAAGAGGAAAGTCAAAAGCTAATGTTGCTTTATGAAGTGGCACGTGTACATGTGGTTTCTCCCTTATCTGCACAAATCACTGACACTTCTTTTTTCTTGTTCTAGGCCATTGAACAAAAAATCAAAGGTAAGTTACTTTACAGTTAGCTCTACTCTGTGTATTATTTCCGGGGTTTTAAATACGTTGAATCAAATGTGTCACCTGAAATCTCCTCCCAAAAGTGACAGATGGGACCCTTGAGATTTCAGCTGCACTTTTTCAAAGTGACCAAAAGACAAAAGTCTAGAAAAGTAACAGCAAAGAGTTTATCCAGGGATTGGAGTTGCTGATCTTCCTGTTTTCCATTCTTATTTGCTTACAGAGCACCAGGCATAGACAAAATACCTGAAGTTTCTTTCCTTGCTTGCTTTTTTCCTTTCTCTTTTTGCTTTGTTTGAGAAGTGCACCAACACTTCAGGATAACTGTGTATAGGATGGATCTGTTTGAAACTTAATTTACAAATATTCTAACTGCAGCTGGGATTGGGAACATGATGGACAAGTAATTAATATGTTTTAACTCCTGCATTTGGAGGGCTCAGCCTGCAAATTGCTCAGGATGCCAGTGCCCAAAAGCTGTGATTTCAGTACTCATGGCAGTGGGAGCACTGCTGTTTTCTGAGTGTTTGTGTGGGGTTTGTGTGGATCTCCATCCCAACCAGCTTCTAAAAAGGGAAAAAAAGATAATTTTCACCTTCACCTCACCTGTTAGTTGGGAAGTGCACAGTGATTGCTGAAGTGATCGTGTGGAGTGCTGGCTGAAACCCGCTTTTCTGGGAGCACTGGTTTAATTTAGCACTTACTGGAGCAGTGGCAGACGCTCCAGAAGCTTCGGAGCCCTGCTTAGCAGAGATGTAATTCCTGCTGGAAAAATCCAAACGGCTTTGAAGACTGCTGGGGCTTGGAGGCAGGGGGCTGGCAGAGGACACTGAGTGCTGGCGAGAGGCAGGGAATCACAATGTCCCTTCCCAAGGGCTGTGACAGGAACATCCCAGCTGGGAGGTGCTGGCAGTGGGGCAGGCAGGTTCTCCTCATGGCTCTGATGCTCTGCAGAGCCCATTCCCAGCTCTCAGCAGAGGAGATCTGGCATTTCCAAGTGCAGTGTGTTCTCTGGAGGCCGTGTTTAAATGGGACAAATACCTGGCTTGAGGAGGAGCAGTGGATTTTTAGTGGATGCTGTGGGGAGGGAGCAAGGGCAGCTGTGCTGCTGTGAGGGGGAAGTTCTCCTGCTGCTGCCTGGGGAGGCTGATGGGTTGGTTTTGTGAAAAAAAAAAAAAAAAAAGGGATTTCTGGAGGCAGAAGGAGCTGCCAGAGCCCTGAGTGAGCTGCAGGAGGGTGTGCAGCATTCCTGGAGCCACTGGCAGTGATGGAAGCTGCTGCTGTGTGTGTCCCTGTGGCCACTGGAATCCATCGGCAGTTCCAGGTTTGTCTTCGGGCACACGACAGAATAATTAGTAAAATTGCTGGAAGACTATTATAATTAATAAATATTAATTTGTTTTTAGCATGCCCCTTTTCAAGCAGTGCATGGAGTTGTGTTGGAATACAGGCTAAGGGTTGGTTTTCTTCTGTACACTCCTGCCAGAAGGCTTCTAGGATAATAGACCAGATTTAAGGAATTATGAAAATGTCTGGGTTTATTCTGAAGTGATAAAACATGTCTGAAAAGCCAGTGATGATGGGAAATGATAGAATACTCTGCTGTATAATAATGAGCACTTTGAGTGCCCATTTGACCAGTGTGCTTGGGCTGCACAAGCAAATGGCTAAAAATAGCCTGAACCAGGAGGGCAGGAATTCTGCTTGGGAGGCTACCCAGTGGGAATCTTCACATGGAATGAAAATGTCTTTCTTCTGAAGGACAGAGTAATTAAAAAATGTTTATTATTATTATTTTTTTTTCTGCTTGGAGGTTTAACATTCACTGATGGAAGTGTAAAGTTCCAACTTAATTATGTTATTATTTAAAGGGTATTTCATAAAGTTCAGCAGGAATTTAGAGTTGTCAGAGAAACATAAACTGGCAGTGCTGTGGAAGAAAAGACATCATGAGATGCAGATACACAACTTTTTCCTACAGTTTCTATAGGAACAAAACCCAAAGCTTGTGTTGCACATGGCTCTTGCCTTGTTTCACCAGTTTTGCCTCCTTGTGTTCAGGATGCAAATTAATGTTTCATTAGTTTCCAAGTTTCCATCACGTTAATGTCTTAAATAATTTATTCTGTGCATGAGCTGAAGATAAAATACAAGAGTATAGGATCTCTAAATAATTCAGAATTATGTGCCTCTTTCAGAAAAGAAGCTGGTTAAGTGCTGGAGGTGGAAAGGGAGGGTATTTCTTGGTTTTAAGTGTAGTTTGGACAGCTCCAAACTGTTGTTTTAGCTAAGGAAGAAATTGCTGTTGTACCAGCTGAAGCAGCTCCCAGTGGTCATGTAAAATGACAAGAACCTTCCAAGGAAAGTTCACGGAGCTGGGGGTTTTCCTGATCAGGATTGGGAATTAAAGTAATGAAAAAGATGCTAACAACAATGCTTCTGGTACCAGCAGCATTTTAATACCATAATATTGCAGTTAAAAATGCACTTGTGGCATTCCTGTGCATTTCAGGGATTCTGACCTGCCTGGTTTGATCCAGCTGGTTTTATTGAAGGAGGGAAGAGGAGGTTGGGAGAGTTAGAGGCAAGTCTATTATTTGCTAAGTGGAAAGTTTATCTGTTTGTGCAGCAGCTGGCACATCATGTGCCTTCCCAGTGCTCTTGTACCAGGTATTCTAGGAAAAAATAAGCGTAGTTTTATGAGTTCCTATTTGTTGAAAGCACTGCAGAATTCTCAGTTGTGGTGTTCATTTTAGCATGGCAAAATATGTCCCTTTGCCGTGTTTAGAGGCAGTGCTGTTAGAGACAGCCAAGTCAACCCATTTATCCTGAATTTGCTCTAGCCCAGAGCTCTGCAGGCAGCCCAGTGACCCCAGGCAGTGCCTGGTGAGCCCCACACTGAAGGAAAGGCTGGGCTGGGCTGTGCCTGGTGCTCCAGGGTGGGAGCCCGTGGGGCTGAAATGGCTTTGGCACACAACTGAGTGGATGGATGTGAAGAAATGGGCGAGAGGTGCCCGGAGCTGCGGGCACTGGGGCTGCCTCTGAAAGTTCAGGGGAGCCAGAGCAGCCCAGAAAGTGCCACTTTCATTGCAGAACAGAGTAAACTGAATGGCCCACTGGAACGGAAAGTGCTCTAAAAATAGCTGGGTGTGGAATTGAAATCTTTGACTCATATTTCCCACCTTGGAAACTTCTTACGCTTGTTCTTCTCGGCGAAGCGCAATGGTCTGAGTGCACAAACCCTGCTGCGTTTTGCCGGAGTTTTTTCCCTTGCCTGGCTGTGCTTTTCCCGGCTGGAAAAGCTCTCCTGCTAGCTCTGAAATGCCGGGGGTGGCTGCAGAAGGCAGGGGAGCCCTGGGGTGGCTCAGAAGGCAGGGGAGCCCTGGGGGAGGCTGGAGAAGGCAGGGGAGCCCTGGGGTGGCTGATGAAGGCAGGGGAGCCCTGGGGTGGCTGGAGAAGGCAGGGGAGCCCTGGGGGAGGCTGCAGAAGGCAGGGGAGCCCTGGGGTGGCTGATGAAGGCAGGGGAGCCCTGGGGTGGCTGCTGAAGGCAGGGGAGCCCTGGGGTGGCTGA